AATACGCGCGTATTGTTTACTCCAAGCGATTTCAATGCCAGACTGCGTCGAACAATACGTCAACGGAGGTGGCAATTTTAATATTAAATATTTCAGGCATCCTACTAATTTCCAATTTAAGAAAGAAGCCAAAAGATGTTTAACTTAAAAAAATGATGAAAATTAACGAATTACGAAGACTTTAGATGTTAAGCTTACTTAGGTTCAGCAGGATTAAGGTTTTATCACATTGATAAATGTGTACGTTGCCACCTCCCTACTTTATGAAATATGTGTGAAGCAAAGTCGAACAGGTGGTAAAATGGTAGAATAGAATAGATAGGAAAATTAGGATAGATAGGATAGATGGGATAGATAGGATAGATGGTATAGACTGGATAGATAGGATAGATAGGATAGATAGGATAGATAGGATATCAAATTATGAAATAGGCTGGTTTCATAATTGACCAATGATCATTCCACATAGACTCTATGCCTTTCACTTTACAAACGATGATTTTCTGTTATAACTATAAATCAAATGATGTTTTTTATTCACCTAATTCATCTTATAAAGTTTATTTAACAGCTTTAAAAAATTCGAAATTGAAATGGATAGTCTAAGGAACATACTGTATTTGTGTACTCTACTGCATATAATTTGTGAACATTTACATGATTTGTACACTTTGAACTCCCTTTCAGGCTGAAAGGGACTGACAAATTTCATACCGAGGAATTTTCTAAATTCCACTCTAATATATATTCTATTCTCTTTGCGTAGGGTCCCTTCATTTTATTCAACACCCCTGCACTCTCCACTAAATCCCACTATATCTTCTTAATATTCAAGAGGAATAAAATTAATCCAAAAAATAATCTGCACAAGATTAAGATCAATGCTTAATCTCAAGATTAACAACATAAAATGTCTAACCTCTGGCACCAGAAAAGACCAGTTGAAACTAAATTTTTTGAAAGTTTATTTCCGCTTGTAAATAATATATAGGGTTTTCAGGTTAACCCAATTATTGTTAATGACCAAGTTTTTGCCCCCGTTTTCAAGTTCGTAATTATATATTGTATATATTATATATGTATAACTTGATTAAATGTCCTTTTATGTGTTTTTACTATTTATAATAAACACATATATCTTATCCTATCCTATATCCACAAAGTGAGGAAATAATCGGGTTAGCGAAGTTTATAAACGAGGTATGATTAAAGAAAGTTTTCGTCAATATGCATAAACGGTTACAAAATAAAATATTAAAAATCTACTGAGATTATTATAGGTAGGATTTATAATAATCACAGTTAGGATTTCCAACGAAATTTTCGTGGAACGAAATTCGCGAAAATGAACGAACGAAATTTGTTAATTTTCGTTCAAAATTTTCGCGAATTTTGATGTACTTTCGACGAATTTTTCGACCTCATTTTCGCGAAAATTTTGTCTATTTTTGCGAAATTTTAGTTCAATTTTCGTTTGTTAAAAATAGATTTTAAAAATCGTATGTTTAAAAACTGATAAAATAAATTGTTTATCAGTGATTTTCTGCATTTATATTTTCACATCTGTTGGTGTGTTGAATCTTGAATATACAGGGTTACCAACACAAAGGATGAGACTGTAATGACAACCTGAAAATATTTAACCCTATCACTGCTGGGGGGGAGTGTTTTTCACCACCCCCCTTCTTTGGTTTTTTCTAAATAACTTAAAAACTTCTTCACTTTTTCAACATCCATGGTTGTGCAAAAAAATGGTGACAATTTTTTTTGAATCCATATGGCAGGAGGTGGAGGACAGTCAAACGGGGGTCAGTGTTTCAAAAAAATCAGAATTGCTTCATAACTTTTTTATTTATTAAGATACAGGGCAAAAATTTATACATTTGAAAAGCTCTTAAAAAATGTGATATCATGTGTCATATGTTAATATTTTTCAAAGTTAAAAATAATTATTTTAAAGCATTTTTCTGGCATACTTTTTGAACTTATTTAAAATCCTTTGCTGTTGTTGAGAATTTTTGCGAAAAAACTTATGATTTCGAACAAATTTAGCGAATTTCGCAAAAAATTTAAACGAAAATTTTTCCGAAAATGAACGAAAATTTTCGTTTTAGTTTACTTTTTCATTTCCTGAACGAAATTTTCGTCAAAGAGATTGAACGAAAATTCGGAAACCCTAAATGATAAAATGTTTTATTAGAAATATTCTTTTTAATACATTTGAAAAATATTGCACTGACTATTTTGTTTCAGCTATCTTAAAGAAATCTATAATAAAAACATTTTTGCATTCTTTTTTCACTTTATTTAAATATTTTTTTATCATAAAACATAATATCTGCAAACAGTTTGTAGAATGTTGAATTTTTCTTTGAGTTCCAATGTAATTTTCAGCTCATATTCAAATATATTATATATAATATATATATTTAACTGTCCCACAACAAATTGGCTAAAATTGTTTAAGGAAACCCATGGATACCATGAGAGTGAACTAGGCCAAAACATTCGAAATGTTTTAAAGGGACTGTAAGCGTAATTTCAATTGACCATCAATTGAAAGATAACAATGCCCGATTCACAACGGTATCCTGAAAACCTTCGACTGATCAATGTTGTTGGAATTATTTTAATTGTGAAACACTTTGCTTCAAGTTTTAAAATTATGAATATTAGTTTTTAGAATTTGCAGAAAAAAAAACTATATTCTGTCGAATTTTCGGATACTGTTTTTAATTTAAGATATCAGGTAATGTAAAGTTACACAAGTAGCGCATCAGAGCCCGTTCTCTCTATAGATAGTGGTCATGTAGTTCACGTACTTTAGGGGACGATAGTTTGGCCGTCAGATGTCTCTCGTATGAATTATCTATCTATCAGATAAGAATTTTACGTGAGACATCTAGCGGCCAAACTATCATCCCCGAAAGTACGTGAACTTCACGACCACTGTTCAAACATTATTATGAAGAGAATGGGCTCAGCTGTGTCGAGATCACACTGTACGCAGCGTACGTTTTAGAGGGATCCAAGGGAATTTCTGGATATTTTAACAAAGAACTCTATTTACTCAATAAACAGTCAAAGGTTTAAAGGGTACCTTTGTAAACCGGGCATCGCCATCTTTGCATGTAGGTTTACTTGAACATACGCTTACAGCCCCTTTATTATTTTAAAACCTTGGCAATGCCGCGGGTACTCCTGTCCATGTAACTAGTATCCAATAAACGTCAAAATGACTAAACCAACCGGAGTCCAAAACTAAAGAACGAAAAGTTTTGACTTAAATTTTAAGTTCATGGTTAAATGCCACTTCTGACTTAATTTAAACCTGAACTTTAACCGTGAGGTTAAATATTTAAATTGAGAAAGTATAATATTTAAGTAGCTATTCATTATTTTACAGAACTTTTAACCTCGAACTTAAAATTCGCGCATTCTTTAGTTTTAGACTCGGGGCCAATCTTTTTGGGTAACTTCGATCTTGCATCACCAAGATGGAGATACAAAAATATTCCTTAGCCTTTTGAACACTTATTGGATACATACAGTGCAAACCAATAAAATGTATAGATTAAAAGTTCTAATTAAATACTTTTTATGATATTGTCAAAACCCCCAGCAGACAAAGTTTACAAAATAATTTCTATTATTCTAAAAATTGGATTTGAATTAAATCTTCCGTTTTAAATGTTTAATTGTTCACTGTAATGAATGGTGGTGTACTTCATATCCGTTACTACAAACATTAAACGTAGAAAGCTAAATTTGACCATTAAGCTTGTGCAGTTAAACATTGCATGCTTTGGCAAATGAATGCAAAAATTAATTTTCCAGTTTTACATGAAATTTTAATAAATTTTATAAAAATCTTTGAATAAAAAAAACATACCTAATTTTTAATGTTTTGGATAAAAATGAAAGAATTATTTGATATTCTAATTCAATTAGAAAAATCAACATAAAAGCATTGATTACTCTCCCTAAACTCCAACTTTTCAATTGTATTTTGTATAACATAATTAATATATTAATATTTCAAAATGTAACTTTTCAAGCAGAATTTAATTAAAACAACAAGCTTCTTTGATAAAGGGATTAGAAAATTGGATTTTTGAGGCAGGTGTGCAGTTTCCTTCAATCTTCAAAGAAAGCACTAAACCTCAAAGAAATATGAATGAAAAAATTAGATTGACGTCTCCAGAAAACAAGTTTGCCAAGCTAAAACAAATTCATCTCGAAAAATCATCGCATAGGAATTGAGTCTTTGTAACAAACTCCAATTGTCTTTTCCCTAATCCCAACTTTTAAATTTCGAGTAAATTTTTTTAATTAAAAGAAACAGGTCTTAACGTATTCAGGCACATATTTTAATTAGACTTCATCTATTTAAAAAAAACTTTAAAAGATCATTTAGGCATAATATCGAGGGACCCTTTGGGATGAAATTGCACGGTAACTACGTCAACTTTGCCCAGACAAAAGTTAATATGGATACCTTTGTGGATCAAAAAAGAGAGTAAAAAGACAAACACTTGATAATACATCTTCTAACCATAAATTCTCGTTAGATCACTGAAGTTAAGCACACTTGTCCACAGCCAGTAACTGGATTGGTGTCCAGGCTGGTGTTCACGGGTTCGATTCCCGTACTCCACAGAAACCTGTGGTTTCAAAAACATCTGAAGCCGACATCTGGTTGAAACTCCTTTAACCAATTATATTTTGCCCCCTGTTTTCTATCAAAATGTTGTGACTATTTTTGACAGCAAGTTTGGACATTCAGAGACATTTTGGAGTTTTAATGGGGTTTGATGTGATTTAGTTCACAACAAATTTTCAGAAACGTCCAAAACTCCTTTATTCTTTAAGTTTTCATAGATTTAAATGTTTTTCCATAAAATAAATCTTTTATTATTTGTTTATATGTTTTTACGTTTACATATGTTTAAAATTTGAATAATTAAGTACATCTTGAAAAAAACTTTATTCTCAGAAAACATGAAAAAAATGAAATGTCTTATATTATATGTATGGTTACTGCTTTTGCAATACCATTCCCTCAACGCGTCTGACACATTTTATGTTTCAATTCAGGTAAGGGGTGTATATTTTGTTGATCCCTCACATCCTTCAGATGTTATGCATGTATCTTTCCGTTTGACCATTAGAAGCTTGAGTTTTATAGTTGCTAGTTTCGGCTCACACAGAAAAATATGCAAATCCTATTTGTGGAACAAAATTTAATATTTTGGATAAAGATTTGTCACAAGGTGAACATAAGAGAATTCCAATTCCTAGCATGCACAAAACTATCCTGAATAGAACTGCTCCAGCTACACAACCTGTGCAACATTCGACTGGGATTAACCAAATCATTTAGTTATTACAATCCATAATCAACGATAATTTTTCGACACATTCGAATAAAGCTGATATTTCATAATATTTTTTACTTGTTTTATATACAATATACTTTAAAGGACGTTTATTTTGCCGCTAGGTATCTCTGCTCTCAATGCATCTGGAGTTCCGTGTGGAATAGACTCCAACGACACCTAGCGACAAAAACAAATCGTTGTTTAAAGTGCATCGTATATAAAACAAGTAAAAAAATATTATGAAATATGACTATGTACAAATATGTCGAAAAATTATTATTGATTATAGGTTGTTATATCTGAATGATTTGTTTGGAATTGAAATCATTTTTTTTATGATCCGAGTCGAATTTGCAATTTCTGAATTTTTGTGGACGCTACGTTCTTTGGTATAAGTTGTTTTTAACAATTTTTCCTTTTAGACGCAACAGATAAAAGTAAAATAAGTAGTGATCACCATCAATAATTTTTCGCCGTAAGCCTTTTCCCCCACTCATATTTTGCTACACTCCCTTTAAATAACTATTGTTTTAATGTATACTTTCCCTTTCCAAGGAGGATGAAACTGGTATAACAGATCGGGTGGTGGTGAGACCATTAGTGCCGTGGACTGATGTAAATTTCAACAGCTTTTCCATTTGTTTCTGGGTGTACAGCAAGTTTCAAAATGAAGCAATTAGGAAATTTACAAAATTTGTCTATCGACTAAGTTAAACTAATTTTTCAGAAAATCTTTGCAATATAAATATAGTCGTCTGTGTTATAGAATACTAGACCAGAACTAAATTGCCAATTGATTGGTTCTCCTTTTTTTCAACCTCTGTAATTAAGAATGCTTTTTTTTTAATCTCTGAAATACAGAATGCTTTTTAAAGGACTTGGGAGTAGTAATAGGCATTGGGCAATACCTTGCTTCCTTTTTAAACAAATTTTCAGGTTTGGAATCTGAAAAGGTTCCACGAAAATCTGACTAGAATTATAAAAGAAAACGTTTAAAATGTGTACTTAGGCAAATATTAACAATAATAGTGCGTATGCAACCCTATACATCGTCTCTAAAGAGGTTCCTTCCTTCCCAGCCTTTGGTATTTACTCCTATGCTGATACTGAAGATGGACATGATGGACGTAATGTAAAAATAGGCATCGATGTAGATGAAGCAAAAGTGGACATGGAAAGGTGAAAATTAGTGAAATGTTGAGGAAAAATTAAATGCAGTCTAGGATAAATCCAGTCTCAGGTTGCAATGTCAGTAACTTTGTTAATTCTTTGGGGGTTTACTGTAATTACTATTTCTAGATATACAAATTTCAGGAATAATCTTCACTTTTCTAAATTTGAAAAAAAAAATTCAACTTAGAGCAATCAATTTTTCTTCAACTTACAGCAATCAATTTTTCTTCAACTTAGAGCAATCAATTTTTCTTCAACTTAGAGCAATCAATTTTTCTTCAACTTAGAGCAATCAATTTTTCTTAAACTTAGAGCAATCAATTTTTCCAAACTTTTCTTTTTCCTTTTAGTCAGAATTCAAGGTTATGGTTTACATAGGGCCGGAAATGATCCGGAATTTTTTTCCATTTCCAATATGAAAAAAGTTCCGTTATTCCATAATTCCAGATGATATTCTGGAACAACTTTTTTATCCGTTATCCGGAAATTCTGAAATTCCAGAACATTCTGTAATATTGTTTCGAAAAATTCCAGTTTTATGGAAAAGTCGTGACGGAATTTTCCTGAGAAAGGTTCTGGAAAAAAAGTTAGAAACATCTTAAACTTAAGTAAAAGTTAAAACCAGCAAGTGATAATATCTATATAATAATAGAATGTGCGCCTGATTTAGCTGTAATTAAAGTTACTACTGTGAATTATCATGAAATATAAATTCTGCAGCTGTCATGTCTCAAGAAAATTTCATGTGGAAACGGAAGACGACATATATAGCAATCCTTAAGTCTATTTGATGTTGATACAAATCAAATAGTTTAAACAGTAACTGATAAAATCACTTAATAAATTAAATTGGTCTGTATACACACTCTACATATATAAATATAATAATATTATATACTTTAATCAACAGATAATACTTTAAAATCGAAATTTTCAGCAAACTTGGTCAACGGAGGTGGGATCACATTTGTCTGGTATACTCTGAAAACAAAGGCAAAATCTATGTCAACGGAGAACTTTCTTCTGAATTTGGGTTGCCCTCTCAAGCATTTGATTTTGTGAAGGAGTTCAAAAGTGAGACTTTTGAAATGATGCTCGGACAAGAACCTGACTCGTGGGAAGGAGATTTCAATCCAAAACAGACCCTGAGAGGACGAGTATCAGAATTTAATGTTTGGGACTCTGAGATATCCATGGAGATGGTCGGTGAAATGGCCAAGTGTAAAACCAAACATCAGGGAAATATTGCCAAATGGGAGGTTGGCAATTGTGATTTTATCAATACAACACCTCAGAACATAAAACTTGAAGAGTTCTGTGCACCTTTTGAAAAATTATTTATGGTTACGGAAAAAATGCTGTTTCATGAAGCAATTACTTTTTGCAAGATTCACGATGGGTATCTATATTCTCCAAGCTCGGAGGAAAAGAACCAACAATTTTTATCAATGCTTAAAGAGAAAAATGACGAATGTGTGATTCCCAATATTGGACACACCGAAGGTACATTTAATTTCTCTTTAAAGGAAGGTTATAATGCAAGGAAAGTTAATTTCAGTTGCGTATACTCTGCGTACATATTGAAACCAGTTCTCTTTGGACAGACTTTGTAAACAAGATTCATCATCAGTGTTTGTTTAGTATCCAGGGAGGTTAAAAGTATTGAGTTTTGATAGTTTTGATAATTGACATAATAGTTTCCTATGACCAGAATATTTCATTGACATTTTATGTGAATGATGGATCCCATGTCAGGCTTCGACGTCCGTCTTGTGTTTACATTATTGCCCAGAGACAGTACACTGCAGTACAAAAGATGCATAGACCTCCGAAATAACTGTCCTTGCATTATAACCTTGCTTTAAAGGGACTGTAAGCGTTAATTCAAGCAACCCTCCATGCAAGGATGGCAATGCCTCTTTTACAACTGTACCCTTGTAATCTTAATCTAGTAAAAAATGGAAGATAACGTGGATTTTCTGACAGTGTCATTTTTTTATAATTTCTTGCAAGAAATATGTCACTTTTGCAGAGAACCAAATGAACAGTTAAAAAAAACATTGAATATCTTATCTATACTTAGTCATAAAAAAGCTTTAAGGGTAAATTGGACATTGCCATCTTTGCATTGAAGTTAACTTGAAATTATGTATACAGTCCCGGAGGTAAAGTGGTCTGGGTTTCACCACAAATCATGAAGCTTCGTTTCCGCGATTAGATATTTCTTGAGATATCCATATTATTAAAACTAATAATATAGGTGTTCTGTCATGGATTGGACTGGTAAGAAATGAAAAAAAAGAACTGTTAAATGTTAAAGATGAGAAGTCCCCTGCCTACACAAATTTTGTAAGGCCACCGAATAACATCAGTGCATGCTTCATTCTTAGAACGGATGGATACTTCTATGCCTCTACTCGGGAATGTATCTCAGTTAGAATGTGCTTTGTTTGTGGACTTAGCGCTGACCCTATCTACTCGCTCAGAGGCCTATGCTTAGAGTCAACCTACACTTTGAACTACTATTTAGAACCAACAGATGAAGGTATCTTTTACAATGATGGAAAGACTAATTCCATAATTAGAGAAGGGCGCTAGGCTTTCATCATTTCAGCAGCTCATTGTTCATGAACAACCCATTTCATTTTTTTAATCTTTCAAAAATATCGTTAATTTTCATCTTGAATTTATTCTAAATAATAATCCTGAAAATTATAATTGTATCCTTGTATTAAGGTTTGTCCTATGTTGGGTATATGAGTGGAAGTATTCAGGGAAATAGTTCCCAATGGACAATCCTAAATGGAATCCCTAGTGAAGGAAATAGCATATTAAAATCCCATAAGAAACCTAGAGGTATACAATATAATTAAAGAATATATGTTTTACTCTGAAATTAAATAAAAATATGTCTAAACAAAATATATATTTACTTGTGTTGTTCATAAGTGACATTTATTGTCAGAGCATATTTCAGAAAAGCCAAACTATTGAAAAAAATATGGACTCTCTATTTTTGTGCATTAAACAAATTGATTATTTGGCATAATCATTAATCAACAACTCTTCTAACAATTCTGAAACATAATTTTTTCAGCTCATCCCTTGGGACGAAATATGTGGGAAGTGAATGATACAACTTGTGGACGAGATGATGTGTTGACCCAGCTGACCCTCTCAGCCTGTAGTTCTTCAGAGTACTTTACATGTGACTCTGGAGAATGTGTCCAACTACCTACCCGATGTAATGGAACCTTGGAGTGTTTAGATGAATCAGACGAACATGATTGTAGCATGGTTCAAGTCGATGAAACTTATATGAAAGCAATGCCACCAGAGTTACCAGGGGGGATTAATCCCCTGAACATTAGCCTGCAAATTCTTCAATTTGATAAGATTGACACACTAGAGTTAACAATAACGTTAACAGTGGAGATTAGAATTCAATGGATAGACCCAAGGATAACACTTGATAGTATTGATACAACTGTGGACGAAGACGGTAAAATTGTAAAAACAGAACTTGAAGGTAAGTTACTCTCTCAGTGGCTTGTAAGTATTTTTTGTGACTGAATGTGGAAAAAATATCTGCAAGGAAAAAAAACAGAATAAAAACTATGCATTTAGGTCACTATATAGTCTTTAGGACACAAAGATTAAGCCTGCTTTGAAATTTTGCATTAAAGCATGGGGTGAACTTTGAAGAGTTCCATAGCTTTGGACTTTGCTTTTACTTCTCTAACTTCTGCCTTTTTCCCTTCATATGTACATCGTACTTCAGTGATAACCAGAAAACTATGGAATAGGAAGACGACTTTTTGTGTATTTAATGTTTTTACAAAGCAAATAGTTTATAAGACACTGATTAAATCACTAATTAAGTGAATTTTGCCTGTTTACACTGCTCAATGGCTATGCCCCATGCTCATTGGACTGTTTAAAGTCATAACTTCAGTCTAAAAGTCGTCTTGCATTTAGCTATAATAGTTGTTATAGAAGTATTAGACAAATTTCACATCTATTTTTGTGTGAGAACTTGCAACATTTAAGTCCCAGAGTACCATTGTGAATTACAATTGCTGTTTTTTCCTGAACTTTTTGACCCAGTAAATTAACCGTATCGAAGTAACGTATGATTCTTATATCTGCAGAAAGTTCTCGGGAACAAATGTGGCTCCCATTGGATCACATTTTCTTTTACAACGGAATTCTGGGAACAACTGTGGTGGACGACATTACAACTGTGACAGCTAACCCTACATCAGAGCCTAAACTTCCTTCAAGGGAAGACTCTGTCAACTCAATTCAATTTAATGGAATAGATGCCTATCTAGTTATGGAGAGAAAGTTCCAGGTTAAAGAAATACATAATTTCTAACTTTGCAAAATTTATCTTTGTGTTCACAAAAGCTAAAAATCGGCAAAATTAAAATTAGCTGTTTTCACCGTTTTCATACAGATTTTTCCGATTATTTTTAAAAACGGCCTTTTGTTAACCCTATTTAGGCTGACGTCTGGTTCACCCAAAATAGTCTGAATATTTCCTTATTGTTAAATCTATAACATTTGATATATTTTTTGCAAGCACTTGGGCAATAATCTGCCAAAAAATGTACTTTGCAAAATTTTAAATATTTATTGTAATATCAAGTTATTAGGCGAAATATTTGCAAAAACAAAAAAATTAGCGAAATATAATAAATTATACATTTTTGAAAAGCTTTTGACACAGCAAATTTGAATATTTAAAAATGATTGCAATGTTTTCAAAAACTAAATTTGCATTCAAGGAAAACTGAAAAATTGCAAATTCGTTTTAAAGACATCTGTGTAAAAATATATTTTTGTGCAATCTGCTACCTTTCGTTCAAGGCTTTCCAAAGAGCATCAAAATGTAGAAATCAAATGACTGGAAGTACATGGTCTGAAGATAGATTTATTTGGGGAAATTTAAAATAAGGTATTCAGGCAGAATGCCTGAAGACTCAGGCATTTGGTATAAAAGCCCTGATTAAGCTTTGAACAGCTTCAGACCAATAATTTTTGAGTTATCTCCGAAAAACGTCGGGGGGTGGGGTGGCCCAGGGAACCACCTCCCCTCCCCAGCCGGAATAGGGTTAACAGAACGTTGCTTATAGCAGAATGGGTAAGTCGATTTTATACCAAATATATTTGAAAATTTTGTACTTATTTCTGTTGTTTATCATAAAAATAAAAATGAAAAAATAAACTTTAACATTATTTTCACTTAAGGCAACTTTCTTTTGTGAAATGGATATTTTTAACTTTCCATTTGATAAGCAAAGCTGTCAAGTCACCATCGCTATAAGGTAGTTTGAAATATTTTCCTGAGCAGAAAAAAAAAAATTTGAATATGTTTATTCCTCATAAACACATTAAAAATATTAGTGTTTTTTTCCTTATTTAAATATATAACTAAAAAATATCACCCCTGAGTCCAGATTTATTGAATTTGAGCCGCGTCTCAAATCCGCCAAAAACTGGTTTTAATTGATCGCCGGTCTAAATCTTGAAAAATTTAATACACTTTTAAGCGGAACCAACCATATTTGAGCTGCGTCTCAAATCTAAGCCGCTGCCCAAATTCTTTAAATTCTGCCTCTGATTCAATTGTCAGGTAGCATCTAATCCAATCACGGTCTATGTATTTAAATCTCATAATAAAATTAGAGATCAACATGAAAAATTAGCGGCAAAGAATAAACAAGGGAGAAAACATTGAATCTGGTTTCCATTAATTTAATACACATTTCAAACTTTTCATTCCCAATCCTTTATTCAGATAGTTGTTGTGTCTCACACCCATTGGACTTTTTAAAATTATAACTTGATTTAATAAGTCGTCTTCCTGTTCTCAAATTTCCTGATTAACCCTATAAACACTTATTTCTAATGATTAGAACCCAAGGTGACAATTCAATCCGTCTGGTTCCATCAGAAGATTTCCTGCCGGTTGAGTACCAAGGATCAAAGAATCTCAAACTTTTTCAGCTTGGTGAAATCAGGTAATTATAGCTTGGTGAAATCAGGTAATCATAGCTTGGTGAAATCAGGTAATCATAGCTTGGTGAAATCAGGTAATTATAGCATGGTGAAATCAGGTAATTATAGCTTGGTGAAATCAGGTAATTATAGCTTGGTGAAATCAGGTAATCATAGCTTCTTGGTGAAATCAGGTATAATTATAGCTTGGTGAAATCAGGTAATCATAGCTTGGTGAAATCAGGTAATTATAGCTTGGTGAAATCAGGTATAATTATAGCTTGGTGAGCTATAAAGGGACTGTGTAGGGAAGTGGTATTTTAATGGACTCTCTGTTCAAAGAGGACAATGTCTGATTCACAACAGCACCCGCAACTTTATCTTATCAATAATATGGAAGATATTACGGTTTTTCAGGGGTTAAAAGTGTTTAATTTCTAAGTGTTTTCCTGCAGTGTGAAAGTCATTTTTGTATAAAGAATCCACAGCTGAAAATGATCTATTTTTAAAATTATAAACGTTTATATCTAATTCATACTTGATCAGACAAAGCTTTTAAGGGTAACCTTGTGAATTTGGCATTGCCTTGGGAGGAAAAAGGAATAAGTAGTTAAAAGAAAATACTTTTTTGTTATTAAGGCATGTTTAGACAGGCCAAAGCATATACTTTAGATATTCTGAATTCTGTTCTGGAAGATTTTTATTCCATAGTTTTTAAAAAAAAAACATTTGGCTATGATTTGAAGGTATTGTAAAATTTGTAAGTATTCAAAAATTATTAAGTTGGGAGGCTGAGGTATTTGGAAGAAAAAGTCTATTTCACATCAAGATCAATCTAGTCCGACTATACTCACAGCTCATGCTCTCAATATTCTTGCAAACCTTTATTCTCTGGATTCTGGCTTATCTATCATTCTTCATTACGGTAAATCTTTTCAAATTTAAAACACCTGCTTGCGAAAAATAATTTTAGCTTTTTACTGTTGCTCTAAACTCTGCCACTTTTAAACAAATTTTAAATTTTGGCGGAATTTTCTTTTCGAATTGGCGCATTTTCAACAAAAAAAATCAAAATATTTTCAGGAATTTGTTTTCCAATTTTAATATTCCTTAAACCTTACCATGGGGTCATGAGAGGTCCCACAAACAATTTGTGCCCGATCAGATCAGCAGTTTTGACGTTTATCGGTCACAAACAAACAGACAGAGAAGCAAAGTTTATATATAGAAGATGAAACCAATTAAAAGCTCTGAATTAAAATGTAATGCCGAAACTTTTAAAGGTTGATAACTTTACGGATCGTTTTATGGGGGCACTCACTGCACTTCTAGTTATGGCGGCATTGCTCAGCACCAGTAAGGTAAAACAATAATATTTAAAGAATTGCCATAAAATGCATTATCATATAAATCTTTAGTTAACAATGACAGTAAAGTTAGTTAATAAATCATATATATTCATTTAGTTATGTAGTAAGTTAACTAGTTATTCATTTAGTTAGTTAGTTTGTATTAGAAACCCGAACATTTATTTTCTTAAATTCTTTCAATTTCAAATGAAATGTTCGTCTTTTAGGCACACAATCCCTTTAGAGCGATGGGATATCCGATTAACAACGGTATCCTGTGAACCTGTGATTGAATGAGATATCCTTATTTTTCCGGCCATAAATTTATTCTATCCAAAATCCAACCAGTTTTAAGATTGATTTGACTTTTTTTGTTATTTTTTTTTAAAGGAGAACGTTCCACCGACCTCTGGACTTATCATGATTGATATTTGGTTTGTTTGGTTTATCGCCAGGTTAGTTTAACAAAATTATATTTGGTTTGTATGGTTTATCGCCAGGTTAGTTTAACAAAATGATATTTGGTGTTACGCGAGCCATGCTGCGTGTAGAAAGTCTGTTTGTCGCCCCTGCGTATTTCTGAGTTTCTCCTGAAGATCTGTACGGAATGTATTGTGAAAAAACNGGTTTATCGCCAGGTTAGTTTAACAAAATGATATTTGGTTTGTATGGTTTAACGCCAGGTTAGTTTAACAAAACAAAACTTTTTTTTGATGGTAAGCAATCTTATTCTTCAAATATTTAAAAGATTGTGTCTAATCTACCAAAAATTCAATCTTTATTTATCTAATAATAATAAGAATTATTTTTTTAAAAAAAATTTAGTGTGTTCCTGATAACCATCATTCACATCTTCATCGAAAATGTGGAAAACACGGTAAGGAAGGACTTAAAGATTTTTGGGGTTTGTTCGGAGTTAAAAACTTTTAAATGTACAGAGGTTGAATTTAAAGAATTTAAACCGCGTTGCTGGTCCGGCAAAAACTGGTTCTAATTAAGCGCCGGTTCAAATCTCGAAACACTTAATACAATTAAAAGTGGAACCAAGGATATTTCAACTGGGTCTCATATTTGAGCCGCAGCTCAGTTTCTTTAATTAGGGCCTTGGACTAATTTAAACTCACTTTTCATCTGAGAAAATTTACCGATCTTACATCGATGAAGGTTTTGGTGAAATAGAAATCTGATGACAACTAATTTAACTAACAAATATTTGGGAATTACATAAATAAAACCCCACGACGTTTGTTGAAGTTTAATGAAGTGTGAAGAAAAATTACGATTTATACTTGCTAAATAACTTTTAAAGAAAAACAGGCCACTTCATTAAAAAGTTTTTCAATAATAGTGTTACTTTTCACAATCTTCAGCAAAAAAAATATGCAAGAAAATTGCCAAGATTAAAAATACAAAATGATTATTTGCCTATTATCTATGCAAAAATCATTTAATATTATGTATATTTAGCCGCTATGGACTAGAAAACTGAAGCAAGCAGTGGAGAAGGACCTCTCTTACATCGACAAACTCAAGAATAAGATTAAAATGATGGGGAGAAGGGAGCTGCTGAATGTACTTGCAGAAGTATTCTTTCTTTTGAAAACATTACTTTTCCTTATCATCTACATTGCAAGCACTGCAAACATGCAATAAGCTTGAATTACACCTTCGCTAAAAAGAAAATTTTCAAACTGCCTTTTAAGCTATTTGATTTGAGTGACAAGATACGCTTTTAGTTGAATCTTCTTACTGAAAGCAAATAGATTATCAAGTACAATAGGTGGCAACAGAGAAATGGACCAATTATACACTATGTCACAAGTGTCAAATATAACAAGGAAAACGAAATTTTCTCACGTTAGTTTACACGTTTTTCAAGATTAAATATGAAGTGTAAAAACAGAAAATAAATAACACATAAAGTTGCACTTATTTTATTGCAAGATAAGCACTTTATCCCAAAATTGTCACTATATTTTTAAAAATTGTGTTGGACACGAAAACTTAAGTGACACTTGTGACGTAAGAATACAGGTGTAAGAGTAATTTCATATGACTTGCAATGCAACGATGGCATGCCGATTTACATCGGCACCCGCAAAACATTTGTCTCATCATGTATCAATTATATACAAAGAGAATAAAATATATTCTATTCTCTTTGTATATATATCATTGCTTTTGTTTCGTAAAACCAAAGAGAATAGAATATATATTAGAGGGGAATTTACTTTCATACCGAACGATTCTGTAAATTCCCCTCTAATATATATTCCATTCTCTTTGCTTAAAACCGTTTTTTCTTTTGCGGTTACTCTGCGAAAATGAATTGCGCATTTTTTGGTTATAATTTTGCATAGACGTAAACGGGGATTAGGCGTACATAAATGTACACAACATCATGACATACCATGACGCATTTTCTCTACTATTGATCTTTAAAATTATAAAGATTTGTTCACACACAATTTATAAATGGAGTAGTTTAAATTTGTTAAAATAATTTGAATATACAAAAGAAATTAGAAAAATATGCAAAATTATAAACAAATAGGCGATATTGATATAAATTATGTGTTCTTGCATTGTATTTAAAAGTTCTTGCAAAACCGGAACTTTCCATGCATGGTCCAATGTAACATCAAAATATTTCATTTGTTTCTTGACCCTTAACAGGCGGGGGGAGTTTGGCGCCCCCCCCCCCCGAGTTTTTTGTCTTGGCACTCTCATTTTTGACACTATCACCGTAACATTTTGTGACTTTTAATGAGTGGTAATTTAAAGGATTTTTTGTTAAAAATATTTTTTTTACTTAAAGGGTAAGGTAAGGAAAAAAAGTCAGGCCTGTGAGGAAAAAATCTAAAATAACTTTTTTGTGACTAAAGCTACAGATCTAAAAACTATATTTATGAAAAGCCCTTAAAAATGCAAGTAGAAACATGTGTCACACTTTGATATTTGTTTTAAACAAACAAAAAATATATTTCTCATATTTTTGACCCTTTTTAGGCCTTTTTTCACCCTCCATAGCACCCAAACTATTAAAGTTATCAGTCCAATTAAAGTATACAATTTTGAAACACATTGGGAACTCAAAAGTCCCAAATACTAGATCCATAAAAACTACAACAATAAATATAATACAGTTTCAAAGTGATTTTACTGTCTTATCTATTTAAGTTTATATTTCTTGTAAAGATATTTATTCAGCTTTCGTGTGAACATATAATAATCATTATTCATTAAATAAAAAGTTTTATAAAACTTTAGTTTTCTATGTCTGAAAAAAATGAAGAGTATTGCCCGTGGAAAAAAATTTAAATTTTAAAAATTTAAAAAATCAATTTTTTGAAAGACTAGCTGAAGTGCCAGGCAAATTCAAAAAAAAATAGGAAAACAAATTTCAATTTTGAAGAAAAAAAGATTCAGCCCATTCGGTCCAGCCGTTTGGCCGGCTAAAGGTAACATATAGATTCTCTGTTTTACAAATTTTCGTTTTATATAAATGTTTAAGCTTAAGTAAATATAGTTTTCGTGATATAGTCTATCAAAACTAGGTTTTTTCACTATAATTTTTTTATGAGTTAAGGTTTAATGGATAGCAAGGATTAAATCAAATAACAGATTGGACACTAGATGTTGTCTTTTCAAAATTTAGGGGTTTTTCGTTCACATGAGGCAGAAGCATAGGCCTAATTATACGTATTCTGCCTCAGGGTTAAATTGTGAATTCAAAACCGCTAAATCATGAAAAGACGGCATCTAGTGTCCTAGCTGTTATCTATGGGACTAACTGTAAACGTAAATTCATGCGACCCTCCATTCGAGTTCTATTCACAACGGTACCCTATAAAGAAAGAATTAGCCTTTTTTTCGAAATTTGATTTTTTTAAATGTTAGTGCTCTATATTATTTATGTGACTAGCGGATTGCTTCTTACTAAAGCAAATATTTCTAAATCAATTCTTTTAGAAGTAATTTTGAACGATAAAAAATGAAAAAAAAACTTTTAAGAAAACTAATAAACTATTATTTTGAAATTGTTCGAACATTTTTTTTATTTTCAAAGATTTTTTCTAAAAAATAAACGAAAAAAAAAATTTCAAACCGAAAATGATAAATTTAATTTCAAAACTTTTAATATGATTGCAGTTTCGAAATGAAAAAGACTAGTTTTAAATTCAAAACGAATAATATAAACCTTTACTATCCTTCTGGAGGGTGCAAATTTCGTAGTCAAAAAAAAGCATTTTACACTCTTTCCCATCCCTTTGTATGATGGATTTCCTTTAACTCTTATATCCTTTCCCACCCCTCTGTATGATGCCTTTCCTTTTAATCCTATACCCTTTCCCATGCCTCTGTATGATGAATTTCCTTTTAATCCTATTCACTTTCCCACCCTTCTGCATGATGCCTTTCCTTTTAATCCTATGCCCTTTCCCATCACTCTGTATGATGGATTTCCTTTTAATCCTATATCCTTTCCCCTCCCTTTGTATGATGGATTTCCTTTAACTCTTATATCCTTTCCCACTCCTCTGTATGATGCCTTTCCTTTTAATCCTATACCCTTTCCCATCCCTCTGTATGATGCCTTTCCTTTTTATCCTATACCCTTTCCCATCCCTCTGTATGATGGATTTCCTTTTAATCCTATACCCTTTCCAATCCCTCTGTATGATGGATTTCCTTTGAATCCTGTACCCTTTCCCATCCCTCTGTATGATGGATTTCCTTTTAATCCTATACCCTTTCCCATCACTCTGTATGATGGATTTCCTTTTAATCCTATATCCTTTCCCATCCCTCTGTATGGTGGATTTCCTTTAACTCTTATATCCTTTCCCATCCCTCTGTATGATGCCTTTCCTTTTACTCTTATATCCTTTCCCATCCCTCTGTATGATGCCTTTCCTTTAACTCTTATACCCGTTCCCACCCTTCTGTATGTTTATGAGCCGAACAAAAGGAATAACACTCGAAAGAGGGAAAATAAGGCGAGTTGGCAAGGAAAACACTCTTTTCTACCAGACACAGATAGATGATAACTTCTTGAAAATGTATATTTCAGTAACGAGGTTTCCTACAAAATACAAATTGTTATTGGCGTACTTGCATATAAATAATAATTGTTAATAAAGATTAAACAGTTGAAGGTTTTTTTATTATCAATAAATGAGTATTGGAATTCTAGGTTTTGTAGGTTTAGCAGGATTGGAGATTTTAGGTTTAGTGGGTTTAGCAGGATTGGGGATCATATTTTTTTTGCTGTTGTAAATCGATAAATAAAGGGTTTAAAGGCACTGTTGTGAACTAATTGATAAAAGGTTTAAAAGGTACTGTTGTGAATGGAACTTACAATCTAGAAAACTGTGTTGGGTCGAAAAGTTGTTTGAACTGAAGTCTAAAGCAAATTTAATTCTTCTGAAAATAAATATTCGTCTGATTAAATAAGTTCACTATTTGATTGCAAATGATTCACTGAAATTATGTTTAAATGGGTTCTTTTAATGCACTTAAAGTTTTATTAGCTCCATGCGGTTGTTGTTTACGTTTATGCAAAATCCTTGGCAAGGTTTGGTTTGGTGATTGGACGGAGTATATTCAAGTGAGGTACAGTTTGTCGGAGACGACCTTTACAACAGGGGAAATTTGAGGGATATGGTTCACAATGTTGTCTTTCCTTTAACTCTTATATCCTTTCCCACCCTTCTGTATGATGCCTTCCTTTTACTCTTATATCCTTTGCCACGCCTTTGATGATGACTTTCCTTTTACTCTTATATCCTTTCCCATCCCTCTGTATGATGACTTTCCTTTTACTCTTATATCTTTTCCCACCCCTTTGAATGATAACTTTCCTTTTACTCTTATATCCTTTCCACCCTTCTGTATGATGCCTTTCCTTTTACTCTTATATCCTTTCCCACCCTTCTGTATGATGCTTTTCCTTTTACTCTTATATCCTTTCCCTCCCCTCTGTATGATGCCTTTACTTTTACTCTTATATCCTTTCCCACGCCTTTGATGATGACTTTCCTTTTACTCTTATATCCTTTCCCACCCCCTTTGAATGATGACTTTCCTTTTACTCTTATATCCTTTCACCACCCTTCTGTATGATGCCTTTCCTTTTACTCTTATATCCTTTCCCACCCTTCTGTATGATGCCTTTCTTTTTACTCTTATACCCTTTCCCTCCCCTCTGTTCAGGTGTTTATTTTCCCCAGTATGATGATCGTGTTTCAAAATATGCTTTCTCCAAGGTTATATCTTGATCTAATAAATAAATCCTCGTCAGCAGAAATAAATTCTCCAGTAAATGCAGTTAGTTCACAAGAGACAGTGATAATCAAAGGAATTGAGTCTTTTCCACAAACTCTGATTTTCTAATCCCTATATCGTTTTAACCCAATGTCGTAGACCTTAGATATTTCAAACTCTCAATTCTGTTAGTTAAATAGAGTTGAGACATATATTAATAACAATAAGGTAGAACACTATATGTCGTTTTTTTCAAGATTTGGGGTTTTTCGATCGTTAGCAAGAAACTTGTGGCATAACTCCTTTGGGCCTCTGCCTCAGGGATAATGTGACCGAAATATCCCTAAATCATGAAAATGCGACATATAGTGTTCTATCAGTATTGTTATTAATCTATAGTTTGAAATAGAAAAGGTTTACACCATTAGGCTGCAAAGATTTAGTGATTAGAAAATATAAGCTTATGATAATCAAATCTGGATAAAATCGATCAATATACATGACAAATATATCTCCGCCAGCTTCGATGGCAAACATTAAGTGAAGACGCAGCAACCACTTTTTGTAATTTTGTAACTTGGCTAAAATCACGAAACAATTTGAGCATCGGCAAGTTAAGAATAAAATTCCATATATTTTTATTTCCGTAATTTGGAGCACTTTGCCCTTCGACATAACATTCTAACTTTTCCAAATAAATTTTGAATTTGGATTCAGAAGACGACTTTCTTTACTGTGGTCAACACGACAGAACCGATCAAATTTTGTGTGGCAACTCACTTAATTCCTGCAAGGAGTTTTGTAGTCAAACAATGAGAGAACAGAGATATCGTGGTGATGAAAAATCAATATGGAGCTCAAGGAGCTCGAGAAGTGATCAGGATTATCTGTATCCAACTCTAAAGCTCCCAGCTCTGAGGCAAAATTTCATTTTAATTTTTGACCAAATGTATCATAACTTAACTAATGAGAATAAATTCAGAAACTATTGATAGCAATATTTTCAGAAAAATGCCTTTCTTTACAGGGAGTGGTCGGTGGTCTGGAAAAATGGCGGGAAATAATAACGGGTGAGAGAATATATAATTCTATACAGTGGTTTTTCACGATTTGTTCCTGAAAGATTATGTAAATATGCAATGCAGAAAAAAATGTTATACTCTGAGTTTTGGAGTGACTGTTCTTAAAACTTTCATCAGAGATAGATTGAATAAAATTATAAAACTAGCAGTCCGCAAGCTTTTTTGTCAGTTTTCTGACTTTGATTTTGTTTTGAATTTTCCAGACAGGAAATAGATTATTCTGTGATTTCCAACCGGAAACATTTTGAAGCACATGGAGAGCCGGAAGTAAGGATTGAATCTAATAATGTTAGCTTGGAGATTCCAAGATATGATGATAATCAAACCAAGAAAAAAGAAGAAAAGGCGAAAGAAAATGCAGAAGAAGAAAACTCGCCAAAAAGACAACTTTCAGGAATGGGATTGATCATTGCTTTTTAAACAAACAAAAAATCTTGAAGAAAAAGAAAATTAAAAAAATTAAATCTTGAATGATTTTTGTGTCTAATTTTGATAACGGTTTACTCAGGTCTTACTGAAATTTTGACAAGTTCAAGATCCTAAATATAATGAATTGTGAGTAATTAGCCTTCCCCCCTCAAATAAAAAATGATTAATGTCAACTATTCAGTGAAACAAAGGAAGTTTTCTTTCAAAAAAGGAAAGGTCAGCTTCGTCGAAAAACCGGTTCTTACTGCTGACTGGGGAGTGCAAGCAAATAATATACTTTTAGGTAAGTTAGTAGTAAATACCAACCTCGGCATGCTTGGCGCCACTCCTTTAAAATTAGTAATATAGACTTTATTATGGTATTAATACTTAATATTATGCACCTTTTTCATATTCAAATTTGGAAATAAAAATGAGTTTTGCCACAAACTCTGATTTTCTAATCATTATAGGCCCAATGTCGTAGATCTATGAATTCTGTTAAATTAATAAGTTTAAATATTGACATATTAACATATTCGCATAATGCATCAGTTTAAAAAGAAATACGAATTAGAAAGTTAGAGTTTGTGTGATAAACTCAGTTCTTTACAAAATTCAGAAAATTTTGAGTGAATCATTTTTTAATTCTAAACTTTTTCTCTGGATCCAAGTGAGGTCCCACAAAAAAATGGGTGTATTCAGTTTAATAAGCAAACAAACAAACAATTACAAAAAAAATAAAAATGTTTAGAAATTGAAGGAAAAGAAATAGAAGTTGATGAAAATTGTTTACTGAAAAATTGCCTTCATTTCTCCAGAATATTTGAGGTAAAATTTCACTATTAATGTTTGCATTTTTGCTTTGAACAAATACAGAGATGCATTCCAAAAATTCGACAAAGTCTCTTTTATATTAAAATTTTCTGAATGATTCCGAAAATCATAAAAAGTTTTAAATGTTTTGATATTTGCTCATTTGTAAAAATAAACTCTTAATTCTAAAACTTTTAATTTTGGATAAGAGACAATTTTAACTAAAAAGGACGTTTCCCTGCACCCGGACTCTCAATATATTGAGAGGGACGAGCAGGAGGACGAGTATGATGACGAACAAGAGGACAATTACGAGGAGGAGGACGAAGAGCAGGACGAGCATGAAAATCCTTTAGGTAACAAGATCAAGTTTATTTTATTCCTTGAAAATTACTTATTTACACCCTTTTTTAAATAGATTCAATAATTGCAATTTTTTTGCTTTTTTGTTTTTAACAATTCATTCCCTGAAACAAACCAAATTGAAATTCGCCAATTCAAAAAAACTGGTAAAAAATTAAAGGTAAAATTACAGGTTTTTGGGCGGAAATTTATCAATGTCCATAAAAAAAAAGATATTTCTCTTGCATTATAGCAAACAAAATTTCGAAACTTCAAAAGTTGAACTTTAAATTTTTAAAGTATGACGATTAAATTAAGTCGAATTGCTATTTTAATGATTAAACTAAATAAGAAAGAAGTTTATAATTGCAGGGAATCATCAAAATAAGAAAACATGAGTCCGAATTTAAAGAATTTATGCCGCGTCTCAAATTTGAGACATGGTTGGTTCCACTTGAATTTGAATTTAGTGTTTCGAAATAAGAATTGGAATCATTTTTTCAGTTTATAATTCTTTTTCTTAGGAATGATCTCCTTTGCTACCGTTGAGAGTTTGGTTAATTACATATCAAAGATAGAAATGGATTTAAAGGTATAAGATAATATTTTAGAGATATTGTTTCACATATTCTGGTTTTCTAAATATTCTTATATAATATATATATAATATATATAATATATAAAGTCGTCTTCATTCTGGTTATATATACGACTACGACTTTCTATTCAGGTGTCTGATGGGAATGTTCTTGATTTTCAGCAAACGGCTCGTCTTCTCAATATACCAGGTTCTAAACATCAAAAGCAATTATTCGCAATCTTTTAAATGATAATTTTTTATACGAAAACAGGTTTTTATTTAAAAAAGAAGTAATCTCTGTTTGTCTGTCTGTTGGAATGTGAGATCATAACTCGGGAACCCATTTGAATAGAAAATCTCTGTAGAACCTCTGAATTGTTCTTAGTTTGGTTTAAAAGTTCCAAAGTGCAGTATATGTAGATTTTTATAGGGAAAACTCCAGGCAAAGCCGGGTTTCCAACCTAGTGAAATTACGAAAGAAATATTTCAGTGGTGGAAAAGATTTGCCAGAAGTTTGTTGAAAAGAATATAAACAACCAAAACTGTATCAAAAGGTAAAAAATTAAAATTCAAAAAAAGAGATAATTTAAAAAAAAATTATTTTAGATTTCAGTTGGCGGATTCTTTCCTAGGATGGACATCATCTTCAAAAATATGTAAGAGAAAAGTTTTTTAAAAAAATATTAAAAATCAGTTTTATTGCTGCAGGGTGAACCATAAAAAACAGGGATTAGCGTTTTAATCTTTTTAAATGACTCGAGAAGTGCTCTTGGACATGTTTTTTAATCTTAGAAGGGGTCTTTCATGCAAGTTTTTGTCTTCCGATTTGGTGTAAAATGATGTCGAATATTCGAAAATTTCTCCGTTAACTTCAGCTAACCAATATTTTTTAAGAAACAGACAAAAATAATTTACATATATCTGACCCCCCCCCCTAGATTTTTCTTCTTGGCTTTCTGAAATTCGCATACGCATTACGCAGTCCTTAACTCTATGAGGAGAAACATATAAAGAGAAGATGCAGCAACCCTGGCCCTATGGTTGTGATCAGCAGCAACCCTGGCCCTATGGTTGTGAACAGCAGCAACCCTGGCCCTATGGTTGTGAACAGCAGCAACCCTGGCCTTATGGTTGTGAACAGCAGCAACCCTGACCCTATGGTTGTGAACAGCAAAATTAGGCGATTTTTTCTGCATGGCATCAAACTGGGGACTCGTAAAGAAATAATCTGAGATATAAACATAAAGTAACCTAATTAAGTATTTATTATTTTAATTTCTAAACATTGGTTTTTCTCTCTACTTTTTCAAGATTTTAATAGAATAAAAAAAATTGTTAATTTTTAAAGTAAACGGAGAGAATTTTGAACATTTGACATAGTTTTACGCCAAACCAAAGCATCAAATGGCAAAATGACACTTAAACAACCCTTTCTAAAATTTAAAATGCTTCCCTAGAGCACCTTTATAAGTCATTTTTACAGATTATTGAGGCTTTAAATTGGGCCATCCTGTACTTAAAATATAGGTAAAATATATCTTGTATTAGTACAGGAATATATTGAAGAGAATATAACTGGTATTCTGGAAGAGAATAATGACGACCTATATCAACTAAATGAACACCAGGTAATAAAGTCTTTTCCACATTTTTGAATTTTTGAAATTTTTGAATTTTAAATGTTTGAACTTTCGAATTTTTGAAACCTGTAATTGTAAATATTTGATATTTCAAACTTAAATTGTTTTATCTAACATGATTCATTGTTTGAAATATCTGAGATACAAAATATATGGATTAGAAAATTAGATATTTTAGCAAAGAATACTCGATTCCTTTATCAAAGACTGATTTAAAAAAGTATAAGATAAATAAAATTGATTATTTTTAATCACAGTTCTCTAAAGAATTATAAATCAACAATAATCTTCAATAATAGAATTTTCCCCCACATTTTATGATTTAATGAACCCTAATTTAAATACATTTAATGTAGCATCATCTTTTTTTTAAATTTTCTAATGAAATCTATTTTAGATGAAGAGACTAATGAGTAGTTCAGATCTGAACCTAAAGTAAGAATATTTTTTCTAAATTTATTTTAATTCAAAGATGTCAGAACACTTGGTTTATTTTGTCTGTTCTTGGACCAGATTTAATAAATAAAGTGGTTGAACTACGCAGATTAAATTAAACAAGTTCTCTTCAGCTTGACCTGGCCACAATCGTTAAACTGGTTATTCGTTTAATATTGTCCTGTACAGACCAAACTAGGATAGAAGAAAATACGGGAAAAGATATTCTCCTGAAAAAATCCAGTAGTTCTCCAACCTGCATTGGATTAACATGTCCTCCTGCATAGTAGTTTATTACCTACAAATATATTGCATATTATTGGCAGATCTGGTTTAGCTAACTTACTTCTAAAATCCCTGATCTAATGTTTTTTTTTCTTCTGATTATAGAAATGAGGATCAGGGTCTTCAACTAGTGTTAGATTGGGTTCAACAAGATTTACAAGAGAGGAGATCAAAGCTTCATCCTTTGCTCGGTAAATACATATTGGTGCAACTACAGGGTGTCACAAAAAAAGGCTCTGTAAGGTACTATACAGCTCCTATCATGGTTCAAGGCCTTGACGTTTTCTATTTAATTCCATTGACCGGAAATGTAACAAAAACTTCGAAAATGTTTAAAAATGTTAAATCCAAAAAAACAAGGACCTTACTAAGCATTTTTTTAAACATCATTTAAGTTGTTCAGGGGGGGGGGATAAATCGAATGGGAATTAGGATAGCAGTGAGAGGCGGATGGGCAATATTACATTGAAGAATTAAATAGTGACATTTTTCAGAATGCATTCAGTTTACATGTATTGAGAATACAACAATTCTTGAGGATCTTCTCCAATCAGACCTTATTCAGCAGGTAATGTAACATACATGTAACGCAATCTTACAACCGAAAGTTCCCGACGTCGTCCATGCCTAGAAATAGTCTTTAGATTGCAAAGTTGTCCGTACCCAGCAATAGTGTTTAGATTGTTTGGTTTCTGTGGCCAGCAGTATTCTTTAGATTTTTTGGTTGTCAGTACCCAGCAGTAGTCTATATATTGTGTAGTTTCTGTGACCAGCAGAAGTCTTTAGATTGTGTAGTTGTCAGTGCCTATCTGTCTTTAATTTGTTTGATTTCATGTCTTTGTTTGTTTTTATGTCCTGCCTTTATCCTTCTTGTTTTTTACCAAAGACGACCTTCTGTGTGTGTTAGGTAAGCTATGTATAGGGCGCGTGTTTTATGAAACTTCATCAAATAAACAAAAAATAATAAACTATGCCCATCTCTAATTGTAACTCTGATATAGGATGAGCTGAGTGTTGAACTAGTAACTCAAGGATTAGAATATTTTTCTCACTCCAACTCAGACAAGATCAGCTACTGGAGTAAACAACAGAAACCTTCCAGGTTAAAATTCAAATATTAAACCTCTAGAGTCCTTGAATTTAAACCTCGTCGATGAACCGCCAAAAACCGGTTTTAATTGAGTGCCGGCTCAAATAATCTCGAAACACTGAGTACAATTTTAAGCATGGATCCAACCATGTTTGAGACACGGCTCAAATTCTTTAAATTCTGCCTCATGGCAGAAAACCTAAAAGACCAATGGAAATAAACTACCAACTATGCATCAAATATTTTTTTTTTGATAAACCAAGATAAGAAAACTATAAAACTAGACTAAACTTTTTAATGTTTACAAAACAGTATCTATTCAAATTCTACTTTGGGACTAAAAAACAGAAAGTAGGCAGACGACTGTTAGAATTAGCTTCCGATTCCAAAAGTCCTATGGGCATGAAACCCAGCAATTGTGCAGGGTGGTCATTTTACTTAATAATCTTATTTTCAAACTAATAGATGAGCTATTTACGTTAAAACAAAATTAATACACATCGAGTCTCAAATATCGTCATTCCAGAGTTTTATGGGACTCACTGTGCATGTTTATATAGATGGCCCCAGATACTTGTGTGTCTATCATACGCTGAGAAAATTCTTGAATACTTTGATTTTTCAACACAGGTAGTTATTAAGTTGGTTTATTTTTGGTTCGTTTCTGCCTATAATTAAAGGAAAAAATTTAGTATTGTGTTAAAAGTAGTTTTTTAAAGATTGCTCATTATTACCATTCGCTTAAGAACGTGTCATAACGATATTTTTTGATAGTTTTTTTTACATTTTTTTGGATAAAATATTTTAAAGTTTAATAAACGCAAACTTTAACAGAATACAGTTTTGAACTCTTAGAAGTTGTATTAAAGTTGAGAACCCATTGGTATTGTCTACTTTGGCGGTAGTATAGGCAAAATGTATTTTTAATTTATGAATTTCAACGTGCAACGTCAAGCAATTCAGTCTAAATCATAATTTAAGACAAAGCGCGGGTAAACGGTTGGAGTAACGTTGACTATGAATACTAAAATAAACTAATAAAAGCTAATAGTTAAACATAAAATCACAGAGTATAAATATTATAGAAAGGAAATTATAAAAATTTTCTATTGTTCTATTTTGTAAACCATCAAAACGTGAGAGTATCTCGAGGAATTCCCATAAATTTGTGATTAAACTCGAAATGAAAAATATATTTTAAAACAACATATTTTTTTTTCTTTAAAAGATTTGGCATTATTTTTAGTAAATGCAAATATAGCTAAACAACCAATTTTTGTTTTTAATTATAGATTTACAAAGAAACTTATCTCATTTTTATCGTCAAAAGAATTGAAATTAATAAAATTTTCTTCCAGGTACCGTTACCGTCCATTTAAAAATGCTTAAATGAATTTACAAAGGAGTGGGGTATTCTGACGGAGAAACCTGATTGGGTATTCGGAGCCGAACTTGTTTCTTGTGCCTCCAAACTGTATACCGTCGGAGGAGTGTCCAGTAGACAAGTAGATAGGTATTCACTTTTATACTGTATTCTGTCAGAACGTGTCTATGTCCAAGAATTCACTTTTAAACTGTATTCCGTCAGAAGGTTTCTATATAGACAAGTATACAGGTATTAACTTTTATACTGTATTCAGTAATAGAATAAAAAAAGTTAAAACTGATCAAAAAGAATTCATGATCAAAAATGGTTTGAACATTGCTAAATGTTTCCAAACCAGGAAAAAAGTAGTTATTACATTTATTTCAAAATTCAAGAACTTAAAAAAATATATATATTTGAGGTATGATCCTGAGACAGATAACTGGGCTGGAGGATCATATCCAAGCTTACAGAAGGCTCGACTAGCTCATGGAGCTTGCGTGGTTCATGATGCACTTGGAGGAACTATATATGCTGCTGGAGGTTCTCCCCAGGTAATACGGGGGTGGTCGTCTATATCAATACATTGAAGACGAATTTTCTGTTTAAGTTTTGATTTCTAACAAGCTTTTTTCGAACTACAAGTTTACAAATAAGCAAACAGAAGCTCTCACTTGACAGCTTCTCTCTGTTTCCTGTTTATATATATCCATGCTGTTTGAAAGCTTGGTAAATATCAAAATTGAAATCGAAAGTCGTCTTTATTTTATTAATATATACGACAACGACTGTACATGATATTTCTGTAGAAATCCAAAGTAAAATCATCTGTTACAGTAGTGCCCAAAAAACTGTGGAAACTGTTTGAATCAAAATTCGTGACATAAAATTTCTATAAGAGAATAATTCCTTTGGTTTTGCATTATATAGTCTGCGGTGTGTTATACTGTACAATTTGCAGCTACAAATCAGGGACAGTACGGACACGAAAAAACGAAAGTTTTCCAATATTTTTTAGGAAAGCAAAATTCATGAATTTTCTCATACTTGAGAATTGTTTATGGCAATGAATTAGGATTTAAGATAGTGTAAAAATTACTTTAAAGGGACTCTGTATATAATCTCAAGCTACCCTTCGTTTCATGAGTTACAAGCTTTTATACCAATAACCTTTGTTTAAGAAAAATTATCAAGGCTTTTCTGTTTTTATATCTTAAAATAGATTTTTCTTCAATTTTCTCAAAAAAGAGATTTCCAAATTTAGGAAAAAGAAGGGAATTGTCCGAATTCAACTCTTTTTAGGATAAAAATGGCATTGTCCCTCTCTTCGTTATACTTCAAATAAAGGTTCAAAGAGTGACGTTGTGAATCGGAACTCCCACTTTATAAATGGAGGGTCTTCTAAAACACTCCTTGTGTCCAGGTTGGTGGACAGGGACACCGTGATATAGAGAGAATAAGTCCTGAAGTTCCACCATCTTGTGAGTGTCCATATTGTGGACCATTTCAGCATCTTAAATGGAAACTGGAAGATTTTGAAATGGAAAGGTAAATTTATAATCTTATGATACAGCGGCCTCCATATAGATGTGAAATAGAAAGACAATTGTCATACCTCTAGCTTTGACTGTGTGCGTCCCAAGAACCCAGTTTTCAGATATGATACTTAACTCTTACTAAGCATGTCATTAGGACAGTTCTTGTACATACATATATGAATGCTTAAATGTCTAAACCACAATTTTATCGATCAACATTACATGCCAGATTCTGGCATGACTACGGTTTCCAGCGAACGAAACGTTTCACAAAAATGAAAAGATGTTTGTACATATTTCGCAAACTTTTCCGCGAAATTTCGCATTTTTCTCGAAAATGGAACGAAACGAAAATTCGCGAAAAATACTTTCGCAAAATACATTTTCGCGTAAATTTGATTTGACAATTTGTCAATTGAAACGAAAATTTGTTATGTTATATAAAATATGCTATATGAAATATGAAATATATAAAATAAAAACTGAAATTATCAGTGTTTTAATTGTACTAAACATGTTCAATCACATTCATGTATAACAACAACAAAATAACAACAAGGGTAAAAAGTAAAATTGTATTATAACGTATCAATTAGAAGTATGGATAGTCATTTGGAACATCATGAAAAAAGATTCTAACAGTTTAGAAGTTAGACACAACTTTCAGTATTTTTTTTCAATAAAAAAAAAATTTATCTAAACTTTCAAAAAAACCTTGAATTTCTAAAAAATAGAAAAATTAGTTTTCTTTTAGTCCACGGACCTTCACAGCAATGGCATCAATAGGAGAAAATATATATTTGGTAAGTTCAACAACACATTTTTTTTAGTCTAAGGCGGGGCAACTGAAATCCATGGACCATAAACGAACAGCAAAAACAAAAGAAAATAGCTGATCTTAAAAAAAAAAACATTTATATAAAAATTAATGAATGTTTATCAAAATAATAAAAACATCTCTTCCTAAATGTCCAACCTAACGTTTAAATTTCGTTATTGTTAACGACTAGAACCGTTAACGTATTCAAATTTTCATCTAAGAAAATTTGTTGGAGCACCTCAGCAGTATCATGCTTCAGATTTTATGAACGGCTACCAGAATTTATTTTTTAACGATTTTAACTATAACCGTTAACAAATGCATTGAAAAAAGTCTGAACATGCCAAGCTCTAGTTTAGTCGGTGTTAGGTACATTCCCAAGAGGACTTGCCAAGAGACAATATCCAGAGTTGCAAACTTCTTATGAATATTAAACTTGTCAAGCGGCCACTACCCAAAGGTTAGATTAGGCATTCTATAACTGCCGAGGCTAGAATATGCCAGGGGCCAAGCGCTGCGACAAGAATATGGTAGGGGCCAAGCGCTGCGACTTGGACAGACTTGGGAAGTTTCCACAGCATTTGGGAAACAGCATTTGGGAAAGTACGTAACATTATTTTGTGTAGGTTGGAGGGGATGAGGCTCCTGATAGTTTAACATCATCCCTGGAAATATTTAACACAAAAACAAAACAATGGAAGAAATCCTCAAATACAGCCAGTAAACGGGATTCATGTAGGCTTGCTGTACTCGGAGGTAAATTATCAACAACAACAAAATCGTAAGACGAACCATTTTTGTAAATTGTAAGTAAGTGACCCTCTCTTTAAAGGGAGTGTTCGCGAAAAATGAAAGGGGGTATAGGCTTAATGCGATAAAAAAGCGTTTTTGATCGCTACTAATCTTACTTCTATCTGTTGCGTCTATAAGGAGAAACTTGTTATAGCCGTCTAGTACCGAATAACTTAGCGCCCATACAAATTCAGACAATTGCAACATACGACTTAGACTGTAAAAAATCCATTTAATTTCAAACAAATCATTCAGACAGTACAACCTATAGTCATCGATTATCTTTCGCCACATTTGTATATAGTTTATATTTTATAATATTTTATTTTTTTAGAAAACGTTTTAACTGATTTCGAAAAATGTGAGTGGTCCGCGGCATTCTTAGATAGTTGCGCAAGCCGCAAGAGAAATAATCAAATTCAAAACAAATTAATTAAAAAGTACTAAAAAATATAAACTATGTACAAATGTGGCGAAAGATAATCGAGGACTATAGGTTGTAATATCTGAAGGATTTGTTTGAAATTAAATTGATTTTTTTACAGTCTAAGTCGTATGTTGCAATTTTCTCAATTTGTATGGGGGCTAAGTTATTCGGTATTAGTCGTTTTTAACAATTTTCTCCTTATAGACGCAACAGATAGAAGTAAGATTAGTAGCGATTGAAAGCGCTTTTTTATCGCATTAAGCCTATACCCCCTTTCATTTTTCGTGAACGCTCCCTTTAAAGATGGATGCCCAATTTACAACGTTAACATTTATGATCAATAATATAGAAGATATCGTCGGTTTTCTAGCTTAAAAGGGTTTTATTCTAACAATTTCCACCGTACATTCTGCGGACGAAACCGCACGTAACTTCTAAAGAAAGCACACACATAAAAAAATCTATTTTCAAGAAAGAATTTTTTTCTAGAAAAGACAACAAGTGGTGAATCGAACAAACCAATCAAGAAATCTAGAAATACTTAAATTAAAATTCTTTTACCAGTTCCTTTAATAATCTTTAGAATTTTATTATTTTTAAGACTTTTGGGCAAAAAAAATCGTTTCAACCCGAGAAGTATGTAACCATAAATATGTAAAGTGTCTTTATGATCTGTTTTGATATTCAGAAAGTTTGCTTGCTATTGGTGGACACAATAACAATACAAACCAGTTCCTCAACACATGTGAAAAGTACTGTACAACAACACAGAAATGGTCAAACTTTCCTAAACTCAAGGTATGTTAAACATAAACAATTAGATTCAAAACATTAAAATCATTATCAATAATTTTCATTAATAGAAAGACGACATTTAATCTTCTGTATATTTAACGTCGTATATAAATCAAATAGGAAAATGTATTGCATGTTTTTCATGTTGTTATAAAGCAACTCACTTTTACCAATATCTTGCAAATAACTTGATAAGGTAAAAAGGTCTAACTGCTGTGCTTTAAGTTTATGAGACTATTTAAGTCCAAACCTTGAGTTGTATAAGTCCCATTGTAAATAATGTCTTTCAATGAAATATCTAAATTTTAAAATTTACAAAAAACATTGTGTAAAATGGTCTTCCTGTAAAAATGTCAGATATACAGATGAAATGTCTTTCCTATATTAAATGTCCAATCTACAGTGGTAGGCGATTATATCAATACAACTAAGACGACTTTTCTTTAATCGTCCTAATCCCTAAAAAGCATTTTTCAAATTTCAAGTTTACAAGTAAATAAAGAGAAGCTGCTAATTAACAACTCTGCTGATTGGAAGATTGATAGACATCGAAATCGAAAAAGAAAGTCGTCTTCATTGTACTGATAAATATTCGACGACGACTTTATAAAATGTTTTTTCTTTATAAAAAGTTCGATTTCTGAATTGTTTCTTCGATACTATTTACCTTTTATGATATTTTTTTATGAATATCTAAATCTTTTAAATTTTCTTTTTATGAAATTTCTTATGAATAGAATTTTCTTTCTATGAATTGTTCCAAGAAGTGTAATGTCAGCATTATATTGATACAAGTTCTTGTCTGATTTCTAATCTCTATATCTTAGCAACCCAAGATATTTTGTTAGATAAAAAATCTAAGTTTAAAATATGAAAGGTTTATATCATCATGTTGCAAAGATATAGAATTAGAACATTTGAGTTTGTGGCAAAGATTATAATTCCTTTACTATTCATGAAACAAAACAAAACAAAAGTTAAAAATTTAAGTTTAAAAAGACAACAAATATTATTTTTGCTAATGATAAGGTAGCCAGAAGATCTCCAGGTGTAGTCACATATAGAAGACAGGTACAAAATTATACTTTCAGCCCCTTTAACCCTGGCTAACCATATCTGCTCATGGGGGAGGGGGCAGCCTCTGCAGTTCTAATTCATACTTTCGAGCTGATTGATTTACGGATAAAATTAAATTATATTTTGATACTAGCGAATTTTATTCTTATACTACAGTGAAACCCTTAATAACGAATACATCGAAAGAATTCATCAAATGTCGTATTCTTCACTTTCTGATAATGGAATGTTGCAGATATTTAGTTTTTTAATTAAATGATTATATTGAACTTTTTAAAACTGTTCCCGCATATTCATGGCTATTTATTTATTTTCGCAAATACTGAAATTTATGTAATATAGTAAAAAACTCATTGACAAATTGTCAAGACGACATTTGATAAATTCTTCCGATGTATTCGTTTTTAAGGGTTTTACTGTATACCTTTGGAACCCACCTTTGCCTAGAGCGAGTTATCACTATGCAAGTCAACCCACTCAATTTAAAATGTTTAAACCAGACTAAGAACATTACCCTAATGGTATTGCCAAGTTAAGTTAAAATTTGAAGCAAATCGGTCAAGGGGTTCTGACATACATACAAACAAACAAACCGAGTTTACTATTTCATATGTATAGATATAGACTTTTGTTTCATTGCTATGTTTCATGTTTTTGGCACATACAGGGTTACACTCAAAGAATAAGACTTCTGAGACGACTGTACGAAGTGCTTTTCCTCATATTTATGATTCCTATACCAACAGTAAACTATATACTATACCAACAGTAAACTATATACTATACCAACAGTAAACTTGTTTCTTTCTCTGCCAAGTTATTTAATAAGTTACTAAAAGACTATATTCATGGCAGGAGTCTTAATTAACCTTTAGAAAAGACATATTTTAAACGTTTTATGTCGTCTTTACAGTCTCATCTTGTATGTGTAACCCTGTATATACTTTGTATTTATTAGGTGTACTGTGTTGGTGGGATGGGGTCCCTGTATATACTTTGTATTTATTAGGTGTACTGTGTTGGTGGGATGGGGTCCCTGTATATACTTTGTATTTATTAGGTGTACTGTGTGGGTGGGATGGGGTCCCTGTATATACTTTGTATTTATTAGGTGTACTGTGTTGGTGGGATGGGGTCAAAAAAGGATCTTTCAACAATTGAATTTTACTCTCCATCCACCAAAAAATGGACCATTTTACCAAACCAAATGAAGGTAAAAATATAAACTCCCAATTTATTAATAATTATATTGAAATTTTAAATTCACTTTAATTTCTAAATATCACTGCATATTGAAATTTTAATAATCATGGTATTATGTAATCCATGATCAATGTTAAAATTTTAAATCAATAAAAGATAATTGTTATGAACAATGATTGAATTGATGTTAAACTGGTTTTAACTGTATTCCTGGTCAAAAAGGCAAATAAAAAATGAATTCAAGATAAACATTAATAATCAATAACAATATATCCTGTTTTTTCATGAAAAAAAATGCCAAAACTACATAAAAACCTAATATTTGTTTTGTTAAGAGTTTATCTGGTTGGATATCAGCTGCTGTACTGCAAAAACCAGTTTGGCTAATCAACAAACATAAATTAAACCATTCTTAAAATATATTTTATCGTCTAATAAATATCTAAAAAGTTTTATATTTTTTCAAACAAATGGAACCATATTGTTTGCGGAATGTGTAAAGTTTAATAAATATATATTTTTACACGCATTTTTAACAAACTCACTTAATTGCAATCATGGACAATTAAAAAGGGCTTTGGGGTTTATAGCCAAATACATAGAATATTACAATTCAAATTGTACTTTTTTATCAGTCAAAAAAACGATCAGAGAATTTTTAATTAAAAAACGAGCAGAGAACTGTGAATTGGAAAAACGAGCAAAGAATTATAAACAAAAAAACTGAGAATTGCTAATTAAAAAAATAGCGGAGAAATTATAACGGAAGCCATAATGAGCTTAAGATTTATCAGATTTAGCAGATAACAGTTCACAGATTCTCTTTTTTATATTTATTTATAGTTCATGGAAAGATTAGTTTTACATCACTCCTCGTTTTGACAAAATTAACAATTATCAAGTTATTTCCCGTGGTTGTCCTTTTTGAATAAATTTGATTCCTTACTTTTCAAATCTTATTCAAACAGGTTTAAGACGAGATCGTCTTCCCAAACTCCTAGCACTCCTGAGGCCGAATTTGAATAATTGACGCGGGTTATTGAATGATTCTAATTATGATTTATTACTCTTTTCTCCCTCTTATTTAAACCTGATAATAATTAACTAATTCCTTCCATATTTTTATCCTCTTAATCACTTATTCTCTATTTATTCTATCTATCAACATAGTAAACTTCAATATTTTGCTTATTTTCTTCCAACACCAACCCTTCTTATCATCCTACACTCATTGATTCCTAATACCAATTCTTTCAAACCCAAATTTCTCTACAGTTACTTTCCATCCCAATCCCAACTTTATCTTTAGTTGATATCCATTCCAATTCCCAATCTATTTTAATCTACTCCCAATTGGTCCTTTCCCATTAAATATACCTTATTCCCAAACCATGCCTAATCCCAATATCTTTGACATTACTTGATAGTCGTTTGAAATCCCAATAGTTTGGATTTCACGTAAAACTTACTGCACTATAGACAAGAAAAATATGAATTTTAGAAGTATATGAAAGAAACCAGCCTGTGTGCATGTTTGTATGCAGTATTATACCAAGCCTAGCTAAAGAGGTGTTTAGATCCTTTGCAACAAAAGTTATTGATAGGTTTTCATGTTGCGCTTTCATATCTTTTTTTATGCCTGAAAGTGTTTATATTGTCAAATATTACTATCTTTGAATTTTCCCTGAATTTGGCAATCTACAAGAAGCAGGCTAGACACAGTCGATATAGAACCAGAAAAAAAGAAACAAACATGATGAAAGCTGAAAGATCAGAAAACTGTTTGAATTGTTTACTCTCTTGGTCAAAGCGAGTGCAGAAGAACCATGTATTCTTTTTGCTAAGATTGTGACCAGGCCTGATAAAAATTACTTCTATAATTTGCATACCAAGTAATTATTAGGGAAAACTGAAGTCTGCTAATTTATTACAAAGAACCTTTCATATATATAAACTATCCTACCACCAGAGCTTCATATATAAGCTATCCTACCATCAGAGCTATAAACCCCTCCCCCCCACAATATCTTCCTCCATTTTTTTACCACAGATTTTATACCACATCGCTGAACCAACAAAAACCGGTTCCAATTGAGCGCCGGTTCAAATCTCGAAACACTGAATAGTGGACCCTAATTCTTTTGGTGAAGGGTATATTCATTGTATCTCAGATTTAAATAGGCAATCTGATTCATTTCCATCAACGAGGTTATAGTGTATTGAGTGATGATGTACGCTAATCCTTTACTAATTGTATAGGCCATGAACTATACGGAGAGCACACTGCATAGCTGTTTATTATAAGGAGGTTCTGGCAAAACCAGGAAATAGGAATAAAGGGAAAGGAAATAGCGCTGGTCTTGCATGAGAAAGCCAGTTGCACTGCTTTGCAGACCAGTACTTTAAACTAACACAGACACAAAACATGAATACAGTCAAGGAAATTGCAGAATGATGTTGTCAATAATAAATAAACTTGTATAACGACTATATTTGTTGTAAACTTTAATCAAGTTATATTCTTTGCATGAACATTTGGCTTATTATAGTTTTGACTTAAATATATAAATAATGTGCTACATATATATTAAACTTATTTCTAAGTAAACAATTAACAATAAACAAATGTACTCTCCTAGACTGTACAAATACCGAGATTTGTATGTACTGTATAAACCTACAGTACACACCTTTGGTACTTTAAACTAACACACACACTCTTTTGGTACAGACACACACACATGACGTTTCCGCCCTCTGCACTGAGCAAAACCTATATAGTGTATCATTAGTAGTAAACAGTTGTCAGTGTACAGTACGGTGCCGTATATTCCGACCTAGATGATTCTAACCTAAAGGTTTTCTGACCTAAATATCGAGTAGTTTGCACGTGTTTTAGGTCGGTTTGGTTGAAAAAAGCTTTAGGTCCGTTTGACACCCTATGAGAAATATATAGGTTTTCCGACCTAAGATTTAGAGATATATTTAGGTTGGTTGAGCATATATATTAGGTCTGTTTACCAGGAAGTTTAAGTTGGATTAGTATATTGCTCAACCGACCTAAAATGAATGCTTATCTAACCTAAAATTGTTGCTTTAACCAACCTAAAACATATTCCCAACTGACCTAAAATATATCAATAACCGACCTAAATATATTTCCAATCTTTAGGTCAGTTTGGGACATTTCGCTAATCGAACCTACAGATTTTTAGGTCGGAAAAACGTTAGGTCAGAAAAACGTTAGGTTCGTTTCCTCTAGGTTCGATGAGCGGGTACCTACAGTACAGCTAACTGAGCACACAGGTAGGAAACTATCATCCCCCCTGAGCCCAAAAAAATAAAAGAGTATCGTTGAACGAAACTCCTGAGTTTCCTTTTAAGGGTCTTAGCAATTGTGTAGATTTTGATATAAGAGATTTTAAAAAAGGGAAAATATGACGAAACTAAAATTAAATAATATTTCATAGCAAAAATATTGATATCCACAAAACTGCCTAACCCCGTTTAAGAAACCCAGATTTCAAAACTGGTTTTCATGACTATATACCAGGGAGTAAGGAATAGAAGGGAGAGACAACTGACACGGTTCGCCCTACCATATGATTATACATGCTTTGCAGACGGTACTCAAATCAAACAGCTCGATATAAAATGGAGTACCGTCTGCAAAGCATGCATAATCATATGGTAGGGCGAACTGCGTCAGTTGTCTCTCCCTTCTATTCCTTACTCCCTGCTATATACTCTGTCTTACGTTTTGGGCTCTGACTTCCATCGAGAAAGATAGACAATTCATCTCAAGAAACCTCGATTCCAAGAGGTAGTGGGGTCTATACAGTACACACACACTTTTACTTTTACTTTGATTTTGGCATATATTTAGTGGGCTTTTTGCCAGCGTACACATCAATACCAAAAGATTTGTGAAATATGTAAATATTTTCACCCTAAAATGTAAACAAAAAATACGAAATCAAACAAAGGAAGCACTGGAAAAATAACCCTAATTTTCTAAAATATTGTACACTTTTGTCCGCATATCTGCTGTACTCAGAAGTTAAGCATATTTATACATACAGTACACAACTTACTGAATGAAGTATAACGGTGGTTAACATTCATAGAAAGGGAAGAAACGGAGTTGTTCTAAGGTTACATGATTACGTTTATGATAAAATTAATTATAATTAAGTATTTTCTATGGTTAGAGTGCATTTTATCCTGTTCCTATATATTAAATTAGTTTACAGTAGACTTTTGGTTACGTTTTTTTTGTCCGGGTTATTAAATAATTTGTTCAATAGACAGCTCTAAAATGGTCCTGGCTGGTAATATTGGACAGACAAGCTGGACCTTCTACACACTAAAACAAATCAAATGTATTCTAAAAATGTTCTCTTTAATACTGCATCTAAGTTAAACTCTGTTACCTAGCAATACCTGCAAGATGAACTGCTTGAAGATGGACAAAGATACTTTCAAATTCAAGACAAAACCATAAAATCAAAAAGAGCACAGTAAATAACCACAAATTGTCAATGACAATGTCTTTTTAAAGAAAAACAAACATGTGGTTGTGTCAGAATAAAACTCAGTCAAGATCTTTATTACAAAATCATTAAGAAATAGGGAAATGTAGGTCCCACACAAAATTTGGGCCCAATTGCTTTAGCCTTTTTTAGGGTAATTGTGTATAAGCAAAAAGACAAACAAACAGACAGGCAAAATATATATCTATATGTATACTTTGGTCTTTGCTTGTCTGGGTGGGTGTCTGCTTGTTTGTATCCTATAAACGTCAAAATGGCTAAACCAGGTAAGGTTTAAGGATGATCAAAATTTCAAAAATTAGCCTCCAACAAAATTATATTTTTATTATATATTGAAAATCCACAAATTCTTTTAATAAATTCACCAACTTTTTTTGTTTGTCTTTGTTTTACAATGTAGACAAGTAAAGAAAATGTTCACAATTGCGATAGAAGATAGGCGCGAAGCCCCCTGAAAGCCTAGTATGTATTGTATAGTTATGAATATGATTAACTTATAATTTAGATAGCTTTGAAAGAAAACAAGAATGGAAATCTTGATTTTATTTTGTTTGTTTACAAATGTTATACTTATTTCTTTAAGCATAAGATCTTCCAGTTTTGGTAGGAGCAGCAGCAGCAGGGGCAGCCGCGGCAGGAGCAGCAGCAGCAGGAGCAGCACCGGCAGGAGCAGCAGCAGCAGGAGCAGCAGCGGCAGGAGCCACGGCTGCAGGAGCAGCAGCAGCAGGAGGAGTGACATCAGGAGGAGAGTAGTTGACTTGTTGATTTGTCTGAGGGATATCTTCAAATGGTCCAAAGTGATCGATAATTGTATCTGAATGATATTCCTGAAAAAAAGTATTACAAAAGTCTCAAATTGAAACATTTTCTGAGCCAAGCATCGCTCTGATGACAGACTAAAAGGAGAACCCAATACAAGCCATCCATCTCAAAGAGGTGGAAGATTTAGATTAATTAATTGAAAAATGTACCGGTTCTGTCTCCACTAGATAAGTTTTTGCAGACGTCAGGGCAGCACAGCTGAGAACCATGATTAAGAGAGATTTGGATATCTTCATCTAAAAATAATTAATAATTATATTAATATTTTATTGTAAACTTTAAAAGTGTTATGAGATTGTAGAATCACTTTTCAGCTTTTACTGTAAAGTCAGTCAGTACTGTTTGGTTTTAGTGTTGTTAAATCCAATATTTGAATTAAACTTTATAGACATTACCACTAAATTATGAAATTTAAAAAAATCACTTCATAAGCAGCAAAAGTTGGATGGTTGCCAAAAAGAGACAACATATTGCTTATATTCAACAAAGAAACCCACTTACTTAGCAGTCATCAATTTTTGCTACAATAATAGAGTTATTTTTTTGAATATAAGCAATTTTTTGTCACTTAATTGGAAGCCATCCAAATTTGCTGCAAAATAAGCTATTTTTTTATTTTGTTGTTTAGTATGGATAGTGTTGGATTAAAGAAATGAACAACTCTTCTTGGCTTACGGAGTTAAACTATAATCTAAAAGTTTGATTTAGGTTCAGTCGGTGAAATTTAACTGACTGTTTTGGTTTAAATTTTCATAAGATATGAAATTCATGTAGTTTGAAAATAACAGATAATTTTTGAAGCATACAAAATAATTAATTAATTATGTGGGCGATATTAATTAATACATAAAATTATTGATAAAGGCACCAAATAAAAGATTGTATACCTTAACCCCCAAAACATAATTGAGATTGTTAAAGAACAGTAACTTTTATGTATAATGGAAAACCCGTTAACTGAATGCATTGGAACATTCAGTTCTTAGCTAAGGTCAAACAAATACCTGAACAAATGGTCTGTTCTGTTATTTTATTTGATCATTATAATTAAAAAGAATAGAATTTATTAGAGTGGAATTTAAACAATCCTTTGGTATGAATTTTGTCAGTGCCTTCCAGCCTGAAAGGGAGTTTAAAGTGTACAAATCATGTAAATGTTCACAAATTATATGCATTACATCACACTAATACAGTATGATCCCTGGACATTCATTCCAATTTATTTGTTATATAAAGTTGTTAAATAACTTTACAGTTATAGGAATATGTTTTTTAATGAAAAAAAAACACATTAGATTCATTTCTATCGACATGTACATGAAAGGTAGTCAGAGAAAAAGGACTTAGAAAAATGAAATAATTATTAAGAACTCTTTTTTCTAGGAAAATATGTCAAAGCGCCCAAATATGTGAAATACACCTGCAGCATGGAAACAGTACAACAAAATGACCGTTTTACACTTTTTTTGAGTAAATTCCTCTCTAATATATTCCATTCTCTTTGATTATAATGAATAGTTTTTTAGCAAAGTCTCAACGTTATCATCATTAACTAAATCTCTTGTAGTCTGTAATTGAAAGAAATTAACGTCTTTTTAATATCTCTTCGGTGCTGGTGGATCAGAAGGTCCACAGATCTTAGTAAAGGGAGTGTCTGATTAGACATAATGGTTGAGCTGAGAATGCAGTGTTGTAGAGAAATTCTTTAGAATTCATTTGAGACATATCAGACGTTTACACAATGCATATTTTGTAAGCATGAGTGAAAATTCAATCTTTAAAATCCTCATTGATTGTTCATTTTGGATGGATGATTTTGAGAATCAGTTTAAAATAATCACGACGACCCAAAATGTAACAAACTTCGACAGTAAACTTAATAGATGATTAGGAACATATTTCTCAAAAGAAATTTGTCAAAAAATCAATGTTAGAATCAATTATTTTTTTCATCATTTTATTTAATTTCTTATTAATTGGGAATTTGTTCGCAGACTTCTACAGATTCTTCAAATTTCGTCTTTTCAATATAATTCCAGAAAATCTACAGAAAACATTGGAGAACAATGAGACATTACAGGAACAAATAATTAAAAAAGATTACTTATTTTCTCAACCTGTTTCTAAACAACTAAATAGTTTACTGTAGAATTTTTACTACATTTTTCATAGTTGGCATTGAATAATAAAAGAACGATTCTCAAAAGACGTTTAATAGATCTCAAATAAATCCTAAAAAATTACATTCAGCAAGAATATTTTTGATATAAATGCTCTTTCCTAAACTGAGAGAGGGAGGGGCAGAAGTGAAATTTTAGCAATTAAAAAATTTTTAGCAAGACAATTGTTCCACTATTTTCTGGTAAGTACAGTGGGATCAATAAAACTGTGGATTAACAAGACAAAATTTCAACACGGTATATTTGATATTGATATAAAGCAAAACCTTTTAGCAGTAGCATAAAAATCCATTTATTAAAGTGAATGGATCTGTGTACATGACGTACATGGTGTACACAGCACAATTGATTTGTTCATTTAAGTCATAATCATAGATAAATAAATAAACATAGATAGCTTATGTACGCAAAATCACCAAGAATTGTACTGCGAACTCATACTTCTAGGGGTCAAAGTGTATTTTAATGATAAGCGGGGTGGTTTGGTGTTTTAATGGATTTCAAATAACTCCGGGAATGGAACTATTTGAACAACAATATTTCACTAAGCAATATATCATATTGACGAGAACTGAAGAAGGACATGAGAAGGACTAAACTAACTTAAATTTCTCTCTACAGAACTCATGTACACCACAAGTACTCAATGACATAAGAACAGCCAATGTTCACAACCGACCTAGTTATTCTATATAATAGGAATATCATTAAAACATCTCTGTACATTTATATCTTTCATGATGAAAAATGTCGTCTTATGTGCAATCTATCTTTATCTATGGTCATAACGTCATGAAAATAATTAAAATGAAAATTAAAAATCACACAATTTGCACAATTAATAATACCCATTACAATGACATAAATAGATATAAAGTCATAACGTCATAAGTCATAAAGTTGTGTTTCTATTCCGCAGTTTTATTGGTTTAATTCCAGTTTACCTTAAAGTGTTCGTTGTCTGGTTTAAAGTGAATATGTTTGTTAACTTGAGAGAAAAGAAATGCTTATTTTAATTAGCATTGTATGTTGGTTTAAAAACAAATTGCAAAAAATTAAATTTTGTAATTTTTTATTTGAAATACAAAATGTTCTCAAACTTAGGATTTACTTTTAAATAAAAATATGAATATACAACATTTTTAATTGTTTATTACAAATGCAAAATTTGTGAATTTGAATTTTACATGATCTCTAATATTATACATCAAACAAATTTGAATGATTATAATTAATTATAATATCAAATTAAATCATTAATTACCATACTTTTCTAGCTGACAGAAAATTTAAAATGTTTAACTAAGTTAACAAAATACATGGATAAGGTATTAATGAATACAAATATTTCAGTGTAAAATTTTGTAGCAATAATGGTAAAAAATATACATTGTTGTTGCATAAATCTTTATACTGCGTAACGTCGTCTTTACCAACCCTCCAAACCCTGAACAACCCAAACCAAACAATTTTCTCCGCCATTACCTCCATACCCCGACAAAGGAAAAATTGAATAAGTGAAACTCTGCAATCCATAGCAATCACCTATAGCTCTTAAATAACCCCCAGACACACACAACTACAGTGAAACCCTTATAACGAATACATCGAAAGAATTCATCAAATGTCGTATTCTTCACTTTCTGATAATGGAATGTTGCAGATATTTAGTTTTTTAATTAAATGATTATATGGAACTCTTTAAAACTGTTCCCACATATTCATGGCTATTTATTTATATTTGCAAATACTGAAAGTTACGAAATATAGTATATAACTCATTGAAAAATTGTCAAGACGACATTTGATAAATTCTTTCGATGTATGGCTTATTAAGGGTTTCACTGTAGTAAGTTAAGAAATTAAACAGGAAAATTGGGGAACTCGGGAGAGCAACAGGAATGTTCTTAGCTTGAGTTTTAAGATTCTAAGTTGAGTGGGTCGACTTTTATTTCGAAAATGTAGTTTCCCGGTAAAATCGAACAAGTGCGGGTAAACGGCGGGAGAAACTATGAGTAACCCGGGCAACCCTGGGTTCCCAAGCTAGTATTATATATTCTCCTAAAAGCAATATTATAAATTGTATTTACTAATGACTCAAAAGTTTACACCTATCAAATCTGCAAAATCCAAAAAGTTAAAAATAAGTTGAATACTTTTAGATATGGAGAGTTTAATGTAGAGACCAAGGTGCAGCATACATACAGTGAGAACCAGAAAACTCTGGAAGAGGAAGTCGACTCAATGACTTTTAATAGTCCAATTTAATAGGCGCACTAAATGTGCATTGTAAACAGACCCAATTCACTTAATAACAATTACTAGCAAAACTATTTGCTATGTAACAACATCAAATGCACTTTAACCCTATCCCTCCCCCCCTTTTTTTTTAAAGAGTGGGATTCCTAGCTGAGGTTGGAAAAAAAGTCATTTAACTGACTCATGACATCGTAGTATGACACTGGAAAGAAATCGGGAAAAAGTCTGCATGTACAGGGTTTCCCAATAAACATGGGAATTCAGGGACAAATTCGATATCGTCTTTTTAAATAATTCCTTGATTTAGTATGGTGATACCTACTGAGAAAGCTGTAATCTGTAAGAGTTTCGTCTGTTATGTTCACATTTTGATTGTTTATGTTTTGACTGCATACGATTGTACTTAGTAAAACAAGAAAATTGCAGTATATAAACTTGTCTTTCTTCATTGTTCATCTTGCAGAGACATTATTGACATATCTTTACAGTCTTTTACCCTTTTCCTAAAATAAACTCTAGCAGACATAATAATATTACGGCTTTTGAAATTAGGTACTACAATGCTAATTCATAACAAAGACGATATATAATTTGTCACTGAATTCCCATGTTTTTTGGGACACCCTGTAGCAAATATAGAGGCCAAAAGTAAATAATGTTGTACATTGTCCATATAGCTAAATGTGCCCATTAGTAAATATGTAAATCATGTATTGCGATTAACCCATTCAATATACGTAGATAAATATAACTCCGTCATACCAATACTGTGATTGCTTAACTATGTTATATATAACAGCGCATAACTTGTAATTACGCTTTTAA